AGGTATCCGGACGAGCAGCCAAAACGTGACTCTTTATTGGTTGAGATAATCCCCAAACGAACCTTTCGATCTTTTTGTTTTCAGGAGTGACTAACCCGGGCAGAGAAGTGCGAGATCATCAAATCGGGAAGTATATGCAGCAATGTCGGAACCTTTCATCTTCAGGTTCCAGAGCTCGTGCTCTAATTTCTGCATTTCACCACGGGGGCAGTACTCGGCAATGAGAAGTTCTTTCATGGCTTCCCAGCCCATGGCATTGGCTACGGGTAAGGTCAGAGATTTGACTCGGCCATTCCACCAAGTCAAGGCTTTACAACGAAGGTACAGGCTGCGAACTTGACTTTATCGGACTCCGCACAAGCACAGATTTCAAAGATGGACTCTTTTTCTCGAACCATCGAGATAAGGAAATGACACCTCCAGCGCCATAAAGGATGTTGGTTTTGCGTTCATGAAATCCTTGTAGGAACCCCCTCTTTGGTGTCCCTGGCTACCTTCAGGGTTTTGAGATTGAGTACCACCACCTGAACCACTAGGGTTCATTTGTGACATAGCTGCTACCATTGCAGCTGTCATCATCGTCTGGAGTGATGCTAGATCGAACTGAGGAGGAGGTGGCGGCGAGGAAGGATTATTGTCGTTCTTTGAGCTAGGTCTCTTTCGGGAGGCATCTTGATCTAATAAGATCAAGGAAAAGAGGATGGTAAGTCCTCTACATTGAATCGATAGACATGACAGTTATATGATTCGAGTAAGCGATAAAGCAGGAAAGAGTTATCGAACAGATAATTTATCGCTAAGAGTAATCACAGAAAACTACTCGAATGAGGATTACTACAGAGGATTGGATCGAGAAATACTCCCATAGTATTTCATGAATTGTTTACGACAATGATTCGATGTTGGGATATTAGGGTAAGTTTTAGGCATGCCACATACCACAGTCACTCCCAAGCACATGTTGGCCGTGTCTCGAATGAATATAGTTGGCCAGGCTATATTGACCCTAGACACGACTACATAACTGCCCAGGTTTAACCATAGTACACAACACCCATTTACTTATGTTCTGTTCTACTTGTGGTTACGGATGACGACGGTTCGGTATACTTGTATACTTTTGAAA